GCACCAATGGTCCTTAAGACCAGATGTAGAACCAGATCGACGAACACGTACCTCTCCCCGCCAGCTAAGCGACGATGTGCGTGAGCGAACAGGCGACATTATCTAGCGCTTAAGTTCAGTACTGTTGGCCAAGATAACACTGGAAACAAAAATGGCGTCCGAATGGTACTTGCCCTCTCGCTTTATGACGTGCTGCTGCATACACGCATGGCGTTTTACCCAACACTAGCTGCTCTACCGACAGCAGCGACAACCTTCTCTGATTTCTAAACAAAACAAACGTGGCGAAGAGAATCCACACGATAGTGGATTGTGACCTGAGCTAGGGCAACTATGTCAGCATACACTGATACAGTCGATGAAGCCCACAACTCACCGCAAAGCCCGTTGGAAGAACTTTTGCCAGCGGCTGTAAGTATCTGCGTCGCCCTCATCTTCTTTTCCTTTTCAACTCGACAGTTGGTATTTTCCCGTCCCGCTCAAGTATACACGCTTCGCGCCCTGCGTGCGTTCGACTGCTTTTATTAACTCCCCCGTGTGGCCTCATGCTCTTTTCCCCAGTCACAGACGCTTTTTTTCTGGGCGTCAACATGGGTGACGGAGCGCTCGTACCCTCCTCCTTGCCATCCCGCTATGGAGCCTCGGGAGCAAGTAATTTGGAAACTCGGACAAGACGTTGTCCTCGCGACTGCGTGCACGATTGCACCGATATTCATTGAATAATGTATTACTGTATTATTGCACCGACTCGACGGATACGCCACGAATTGTGTTTCCTCACGATGAGGTTCTGGAATCGTCTATGTGACCCGCGACACCCCACTCAGTGTTCATCTCGGTCGTAAAAAGACGAACAGCTCTGTGAGTTGCCAACAAGTGGCCCAAGCCGTACGTTTTAAATGGTGAAACCTTTCCGAATGCGGCGTCGCCGCTGGCCAGTTTGCGGTACCCTCCGAGTGTTGGCAATCCATGAGTTTGGATTTTGTGTTTGGCCTGCCGAAGGACTCGGCGAACAACACAGGTGTGGTGGTCTTCGTCCACCGTTTGAGGAATATGGATCATCGTGCGACGCTGTTTGTGGATCGTGTCTTTCGAAAACATGGACTCCCGGAGTCAATTGTCGCTGACGGAGACCCACGCTTCACTGGGAATATTTGATCGACGATCTTCAAGGTCCTGGGCACCAAGTTGACTATGTCGATGGCAGACCATCCGCAGACCGATGGTCAGACTGAGCGCGTGAAACGCGTCGTCGAGGAAGTCCTTTGCAGCATCTGCGCTGAGACTGCGAGGCGCTGGAGCGCCATGCTGCTACTCGTAGAGCTTGCTCAGAACAATGCAGCGCATTTGTCTACTAGCTACATGTCATTCTACGTGAACGGGCCCGTTTATCCTCGCGTCCCGCTGACACAGCCATCTCATGGTTCAGGGCTTGGTAGGGAAGAAATAGCTGGGCGGCTAGCTGATATCAGCCTTCTCACTATGCGTATAATAGTCGACGACTTCCTGTCGACCAGGCTGAGTGTCTAACGTCACGTTCGCGATGCGATGGCTGAAAGCCAAGACATGCAGAAGGAATATGCAGACGGAAGAGGTAAGAAAATGTTAGAAACTTTGAGGTCGAAGACCGGATTTTTTTCATTGCGAAAAACCTCCCCCCATGCAACTTCTGCTGCCTTTAACACGAAGATCCGTGCACGGCTTATTGAACTTTTAAGATCGTGGCCAAGCAAGGCATTGCATATACGCTAAACGTTTCGAAGCGGATGCGCACCCACCCGGCGCTTTGTGTGGTTTATGTAAGCAGTACAGGACCCGGCGCAAGTGAACGCGAATGCGTTGGCGCCACAGGCACTCGGCCACCCAGGAGCTGGAGCAGCAGCTGGCTTGAGCACGGAGTGCAAAGATTTTCGCTCCCAACGGCGACAAGCGTTCCACCTTCGCATGAAGCGACGCATTCGTCTGCTTAACGGCTAGGAATGTACGTGATAGTCCTCAACGCGAGGCAGCCGACGCACAACGTGCTCCAAGCTCTCTAGGCCTTCCGTGCAGCGGTATTCAACCCCAGCATGACGATCAGCGGAGCCCGATCGCGACGGATCTCGTACTTAAGAGCTCGAAGAGCATCGCGGGTCACTGGACTGCGATTGACCCAGTCGTCATTGTCGGCCGTTGACTCTTCTGGACGAGAATAGTGGTGTCCACTATCTCGTGGAACGTCTTATGGGTCGATGACGTCACCAGGGTCAAACCCAGAATCTTGTAAAGTGGCGAAGATACTCCGACTTCGAGAACTCGTGGGATTTTATTTTGCTACTTCGGCAAGACTGCCCAGACCTCCTGGGCGGTTATGATCAGAGAGGATATGACGTCCCGCATCGTCGAACGCCCCGCGCTTCTCGGTAATAGCCAGGAAAGCCGAAGTGCATGAGCTGAACTCAAGCTATGGCGTTGAGCTGATGCGGTCGTGTGAGAGACCATAGAGCTCGCGGAAGCGCGATTGATCAAACCGTACGTCGCAAAGCAAAAGTCGGTGACGTGCCCTGAGTTTGGCAAACCAAACCGAAGGTGGCGTTCCACACGCGCGTCCACCTCCCTGTGGATCAACTGTAAGTTGTGCAGTGAGGAAATTTTTCGGTGCCGCTGCACCCATCGCTCAAAGAGCTCTTCGTCATCTGCAGTGGTTTTGCTAAGGGCGAGGACCACAGAAATCGTCTACATCGCGGGTAGAGGGGCGTTGTCGCTTTTAGCACGAAGTCGAGTGCGGTACGTATCCACCGGGATTTCTTGAGGAACCAAGAAGCGAGCTCAAAGCGTTTCGTCTGTGAAGCTCAGCCTGATCAGTGGTCGGGGCCAGACGCCCAGCGGCGAGGTGATCGCGGCCTTCGCTTCTGTAACGGGATCCGCCGAGCGGAAGCTGTTCTCAACACGAGGGTCAAAGACCGGCCTCGGATGCGCGCGCATGAGAGCCTCCCTGCTAGCAGCATCCAGCTCCTGTCTTTGTGCTCATTGGTAATGATACCACTTTCCTCGGAAGTCGAGAGTTCGGGAAAGGATACGGCGTCTGCAAGATTCAAGCAGGGCTCACGTCGCGCCGCTGGGGCACCTCACCCTCTTCTTCTTCCCCTCCTGGGAAAGAATGTCCGACTTGTAGTCGACTTCCTCCAAATCCTCGATGAGGTAATCCATCGCCCGGGGCGGGCGCGGTGCGCGGTCGGGTGCTGATATCGCGTCTGTGCTATTAGTCCTGCGACCCTGCCGCTGACAGTGCGCTGCGCGGTACTCGGTTATCGATAGCTTGGACTGCGCTTTCCTCAAAGCCACGGACGTGCTGTCCGGAGTTGCACCGCGTGCAGAAGACGAAAAAGGGCTCTGACCGCTGGCGTTCTCGGAGCCAGCGAGGTTGGGTGTCTTCCGTGTTCTCGATACAGGGCTCATTGCAAAGAATTTCAAAAGAAGTTCCCGGTGACGTTGTTATGTCTTAGACACGTGAGCGTCGTTCGTGACGACAGTGTAATGTGTATGTGCTCATAATCTTGATGGGAGCGGGTGTAACGGAGCCCTGTATCGAAGGGCGTGTGACCAGATGGTGTGGTCACACAATGTTGAGGATCACACAAGGTGGTGTGACCACACAATGATGTGGCTACACTTAAACAAGAAGTCAGTGCGTGGCTGGAATAGCCAGTAGTGATACAATTGATTTGGCCTTCCTATATAGATAGGAAACCTAGAGACTTAGATATAGGCGGCTTAGCCGCAATCAAAACCGAGAGATACATTTATATATCAAACGGAAGAGTTAATTGGCCTTGGGTTAAGATTGTAGTGACTCTTAAAATAAGTTTGCGGTCCGCTACATTGGTACTGGTTAAGTATAGAACGAAGATCACCGACCTTAACCAAGCTTCATCTAAGCAAAGAGCTACGACGACTTCGCTGCATACTATGATTGATCTTG